AATCAAATCCTCTTCTATATCGCCCATTATTAAGATCACTGTCTTTATCAATTACCAAGAAGCCATATTTATCATTATTCCAGCACATTGAACATATATCTCGAAAATGAGAATAAGTCATGTCAGTATTTACATGATCATCGTAAATGTGTTTTAGATTCATGTCATCTTGCCTGAAAAGTACAAGAAAGTTTGTATTGTCACGCACCAAATGTTTAGGAATTCGTGCATAAGTTTGACAAAGATAGAAGCAGTCAATATCTCTATGTCGTCCCATACAAAAATAGGTTCGCATATTATCTTGTTTTTCGCATGCTACGTCATCGAAAATCATAATTGAGTTGGGTTTTGCTTCATCCGGTTTTACCACTTCCTCATGCTCATTAAAAGCATAAAATTTAATACCTTCAATTGGTTCAATTATTTTTTTTAAAAACTGATATTTAGGTTGGTTAAATGATTTTGAATACAAATAAATATTTTCAAATCGTAGGCCATTTGGATGTACAATAAGTGCTAAAAGAGTATTTGTCTTTCCACAATTTGATGGACCACAAATAACACCACGGACACTATTTGGTAAAAGTTGTCCGTGACGTTTGATATTTGTGTCTCGTGATAGGTCAAAGTTAATTACAGGCAACTTAATGTCTTGTTGATTGAACTTCATCTTGATGTAGAATGACATTCTAGCTATAAATTTACATCTTTTATAGGTGTCGAGTTAGTCGTTCTTGAACAATGATAGTGCAAAGACGTATCAAAAAACGAGGTGCTGGTATTGTTAACACACTTATAAACAAATTGCCATTTGAACTTCATATACCAGGATATCATTATTGTGGTCCAGGAACTAAATTGAAGGAGAGATTAGCACGTGGAGATCCAGGAATCAATCCATTGGACGCTGCTTGTAAAGAACACGATATTGCATATTCGCAAAATCGAGATAACATTGAAGCTAGAAACGCAGCTGATAGAATACTTGCTGAAAAATCTATGAAACGTTTTTTTGCGAGAGACGCAGATATTGCTGAACGAATTGCTGCTTTAGGAATTTCCAACGTCATGAAAGTTAAATCAAAATTGGGAATGGGTTTGAAAGAAAAAAACAAAAAGGACAAGGGAGTTAAACATTTGCGAAAAGTTGTTAATTCAGCAAAGCTTATGTTAAATTCCAGTTCAGATCCTATTAAATCTGCATTAGCTGCTGCACGAAAGACTGTTCGCGATGCTGGTGGAAAGAAAAAAATCAAAGTTCCACGTATTATACCAATGCCGCCAAAAGTGGGAGGTATTTTACCTCTTATACCTCTATTTGCAGGTTTAAGTGCAGTTGGTGCTGTAGCAGGTGGCGCTGCTGGCATTGCGAAAGCAATTAATGATGCTAGAGACGCCAAACGTCAATTAGAAGAAGCTAAACGACATAACGAGAAAATGGAAGCAATAGCTTTGGGTAAAGGTCTACGTCTAAAACCGCACAAGAGAGGATTAGGATTGTATTTGAAACCGGTAAAAAAAAAAAACTTTTAAATTTTCCCCATCGTGCACTGACTGATATTGAACTTCAAAAATATGCAAAAATCATGAAAATACCCTTTTTTCGTGGTGTTTTTATGCGAAATGATCTTCCAAAATCTTCACCGTGGAAAAATGAATCAGCAATTATTAATCTCGATGATAAAACTGGACCTGGAACTCATTGGGTGGCATATAAAAAACGTGGTAATAAAGTTATATATTATGACAGTTTTGGCAATTTGCAGCCACCACATGAGCTTATGAAATATCTTAATGTTGATAAAATACTGTACAATCATGAAAAACATCAAGATTACAGTACAGATAATTGCGGACACTTGTGTTTAAAATTTTTACGTAGAAAAGTATAAAAGTAATATGCACTTTCCAATAAGCATCAGTCATGGATGATTCACTCACGTTAACATTGTCTGGACAAACGTCCATTCTAGAAGCGTTTTATTTTCCGCCAATTGAATTATCATCATCTAAAAAATATACCCTAGGACTTGTGGAATTGTTAACCTTCAATTCCATTCCAAATATTGATAACGGCAATAATAAATTTTATTATACACTCAATGGTGAAGATAAAAGTATTAAAATACCCACAGGAAGCTATGAAATTGAAGACATTGAAAATTATTTGAAGAAAGCTGATACTCAATTATCATTTTCTATTAAGCCCAATAATAATGAACTACACAGTGAAGTTTACAGTGAAAATGCAACAATAAATTTCAAACCGCATGATTCTATTGGTAGTTTGTTGGGCTTTAGTCCACGAGTTATTTTTCCAAAATTGACTCACACATCAGATTTACCAGTATCTATCTTGAAAATTAATGCATTAAGGATTGAATGTAATATTACTACAGGAGCATACATGAATAATCAGTTGGTACATACGATTCACGAATTTTTCCCATCAGTTTCACCAGGATATAAGATCATTGAAGTTCCATTAAACGTCATTTATCTTCCAATCACCGTACAGACAATACATAATTTACAACTGCGCATTGTTGATCAAGACGGTCAATTGGTTAATTTACGTGGTGAAACTGTAACAATACGTTTACATTTGAAATCAGTCACGTAATGGGGATTGTTTATAAACCAATAGTAGGGGGAAGCTATAAAACTAACATATCATGCCTGAATCCCATCAGTCATCGAAGAAAATTCAAACGATTAACTTATCAAAATCGATTATTCCTACAAAGTCTGGGACTAAAAATACGCAAAAGTGCAACAAAATTAAAGTGAAAGTGTGTTGTCTTGCATGTCTTTTACCATGGAAGAAGAAAAATTAGCAATAAGCAAAGGTGTCATATTTGATGAGTCTATTGCACACATTGAGGTGCATGCTCATGAATCATATGCATCTACAACATATAATAATAATGATGAGATACATATCTCAGTTCAACATCAAGATTTATGTCTGTTGCCAAGCAAAAGTTCCCTTCATATTATGGGGAAATTTACAAAATCTAACGGAAATGCAGTAGCAGCAACATCAAGATTCGTTTATATGGCCGTATGCTATTTATTTGAAGAAATACGATATAAATTGAATGGTGTTGAGATTGATCGAAATAAAAATGTTGGTCTTACAAGTCTCATGAAGGGATATCTATCTCTTCATCCAGGTCAAAAAAATTATTTAGATAATGCAGGTTGGGTAACTGATAATGAAAGATTATTTAATGATAATGGATACTTTGATGTTTCGATACCGTTACATATGCTATTGGGATTTGCTGAAGATTATCATCGCATAATTGTCAATGCCAAACATGAATTAATACTTACTCGTTCAAATACCGATCTTAATGCAATTGTACAAGCTACAGCGGAACCTGAAGAGACGATCACGCTTATAAAAATTGAATGGATCATTCCTTATATCACTGTTGCAGACATGAAAAAGGTAGAATTGTTAAGTTACATTGCAAAAGACCCACCGATTCCAGTGAGTTTCAGATCATGGGAATTATATGAATATCCAATGCTGCCGAACACAACCAAACATGTATGGGTCGTAAAAACATCAACTCAATTGGAAAAGCCCCGCTATGTTATATTAGGATTTCAAACTGCACGCAAAAATGATGCTACAAAAGATGCAAGTCATTTCGATCATTGTGATTTAAGGGATGTAAAACTTTTCCTCAATTCACAATGCTATCCATATGGCAACATGAATCTTGACATAAGTCACAATCAATTTGCCTTATTATATGATATGTATAGAGATTTCCAAACATCATATTATGATAAAGAAGCAGAACCTCTACTCACGAAAAAAAAATTTATAGATATAGCACCACTCGTTGTAATTGATTGTTCTAAACAAAATGAATCCTTAAAATCAGGACCAGTTGATGTTCGACTGGAATTTGAATCATCAAAAGCTTTTCCTGCTAACACATCAGCCTATTGTTTGATCTTACATGATTGGATAATAGAGTATAAACCTCTAAGTGCGCAAATGAGAAAACTAACATAAAATATTGTAAAAAATATACATATTATATAATTATGATTATATTATTCATGTATTAATCAAATTTTTTTTTGCTATAAATAAATTGTGTACACGAAAAAGATTACTGTTTTCATTCATTTATTTCCAAAAAAAAATCTGATAGTTGGTAGCGCAAATTTTGAGAGAATATCAATACATTGACAAAACTTTGAAAAAAAAATCAGTTATTTTTGCTGATAGTGAAATTTTAATCGCGGTTGGTAAAAAATCGGTATTATCATTGAAGATAATTTATCGAGGTTGGTAAAAAAAAAATCGCTGCCGATAATTTATCAGTGTCGATAACTTATTGCGGTCGGTAACTTATCGTCAAAGTTATCGCGGTCGGTAATTAGTGCGGATCAGAACCCACTATTTTGACTTGGCCGGTATTGCAGAGTGATCCAGAACCGGCCCTGCTTATCTACTGTTATCGCTCTGTGATTGAAAATCGTTTACGATCTAACAATCATATAGAAGGATGGCACAATGGGTTCAATCGTCGTGTAGGTGTGTGTCATGCATCTGTGGGATTATTAATTAACAAATTAAAAGATGAACAATCAAGAAGTGAAACTTTGATTTCTCAAATTGAGTCAGGATTGAAGATGAAAAATCAAACGAAAGCTTATCAAGATTATAATGCTCGGTTAAAGAGAGTTGTTCTTAATTATGACCCCGATAATAAACTTCAATATCTAAAAAATATTGCAAAAATAATTTCAATCAATATCGACAATTAAAGCTTTGTTAATGTTAACGTGAATTTCATGAAATCCGAATGTTTGATTATGTTAAAAATAAATGAGATAATTTATGAGGTGTTTCATAATGTTAATTTTGAATGGATTACATTATTATTGACATTTAAATCTAAAATCATATATGTTTAAATTTATTACTAGACGTTGGGAGTTATGTAAACATTAACACTATATTCATTCATATGATTAATTTCAATACCCGGGAAAAACTATCAGATCTGCTTAGATCTAATTTGATCAAATCAGATCTACTTATATCTTGACAAATCTGTTATTTTAAGTGTATTGACATGATTATGCATGATGGGGAACAATCATATTTTATCAGACCCGGTCTTGTTATGTGGTTCAATGCAATTTGATCTGATCGAATTGGGGCAGAACCTGCCAGATCTGACGACATTGTCTTGACCGCAATTTCATGTCTATTAAGATATAACCAGATCTAATAGAACATGCTATCAAATTTATTTAGACCTGACTTTTATCAATTTGACATAATTTCAGCTGGTCAGATCTTACTATTCATGAAATTCATTTTAATCAGACCTGGTTCATGTAAATTTACTACAGTCTGATATGGTCAGATCTAGCCACATCTGACCAGATCTGCTTAGATGTGTGTTCGAATTTGAAAAACAGGAACTTTAATCACTTTAAACATGTTACATACATATATTTTTACGTTACTTTATTCAATACATGAGGACATTTACAAATAAAATTATCCACTTGGATCATGTGACTTATATTAATAATATTTCTTACATTTATTAATTTATAATCATCAGTCTCTACAATAGGGAGTATGAAATGTAATTTTGTCATAGATTCTTGATGAATTAATAGCCGGTGTTGTTGAATAGAAAACTTTTTAAAAATGAAGTACAATTCATTATCAATTTCTAAAAAGTATCTAATTACACCATACATTTCTTCGTATTCATATGTACTCAACTTAATTGTGTAACTATTTGTTTTAATTTGTTTGTAAATTTCTGTTGTATAAATGTGTCTATCAATTTCCATCCGGGAGTATATATTTATATTTATTAAATTTAGATGATTTAAATTCAAAATTTGTAGCTCAAGATCATTCATTCGAATATTACATGTCTTTATCTTATTCATAAGTCTATACTTGTTTTTTTTATGTATATTTCCAGCTGATACGTTCAGATCATTATGTATTTTATTTTTTAGAGCATGTATACCTTGAGCTAATTTCAAATTTTTCATCAGCTCTTCACCAAGATGTTTCGAACCGTGGAGACTTTTCGCGATGATTCCATTATAATTTTCAAACGGAAATGCAGATGATGACCATAATGGTCCCCAACGTCGAACACATAATACAAGGTGTGTTAATTGATGAAGATTATATGAATATTCATGATTACCATACAACTCACCAACATCTCTGACAAATAATCGTAAAAGAATCTCAGTACTATTTAAGTCATTCATGTGTATGGGTTTCTGAAGTAAATTATATATAGACACGATTAAAAGAAACCAATGTTGTAGATACTTGTTAGGTAAGAAACCAAGAAGTGCTGGAGCTGAATAGTATAGGAGCCAATTGAAAAATTCCGATGCTTTAAAACATTTAAAATCTGACAATTTTCGAGGCATCCTATTGAAGAAGTATGGTGGATGAATACTCAAAATAAATGAGTCTATATTATCGAGATGTTTTTTAATATTCCAATCACCTGTTTTATTTATCCAAATGTTAATAAATTGCTTCACAACACCCAAAAGCACTGAGTGCATGAATTCTGGGATCACACAGGTTCCCAAATCAATAAATGGTAAATTAGAAATGACAGTTGATCCTTTTACACCCTTAATATGTATTTTTCCTTCAGTAAAAGCTTTATTACCTTGCTCAATCATTCGTTCAGATGTTCTTAAACAACTTGTTTTCTCTTTAAATAAAAAAACTCTTCTTTTTTTTTTATCCTTGGGACCTTTACATTGTTGAGTCTTAATTTGGCAAATGTTGCAGCCAAATTTTCCATTGAAATAAGAAATATTCTGAATTGCTGCTCGAGCTGGAGCATCAGCTATGAACAATGGTGCTACAATCATTGAAGTAAAGGTCTCATTTGTTGTTTTATCAGTCCATTGAATACCCTTCTCGAAACTCTTAATAATTTTATCACAAACGGGCTTTAAGAAAGTATTCATTAATGGTTTTCTTTGAGTATCATACCACAAACCGACTATAATTATAAATGACTCTCTAAGATATTCAGGTAATTCCGCTATGGTGAACATAAGAGGCCAACAGTGAGTTGTAGCACTTTTCACTAAAGATAAGCCATCTGTATTGAGAATCAACGTCAAATCATATTGGTTACGATCTTTCCTAGAATTAACTCTGATGTATTCGGAACCATCAGTAATATCTGAGATTAATTCACTATGATGAGGTAAAACTTGCAATTTACTGGCCAAGTTTCTATGTTCAAACAGAAATTTTATCTGGTCGATAATATCCAGTTCGTAAAAATATGATGTGCCCTCTGTGCTTTTGCATGACGTACATATTCTCAAAACACTATTTTCTTCAGTATAAAACGCACATTTTTTACAATACAAATGTTTGATAATTTTAACAGGTGGAGATATTTTACGAACATAATCGAATAATGTAAATATAGTTTTTGGCATTTTGTTAGGCTTAGGAAGCACTTTTTGAAGTATATTCAAATTTTCTTGTAAAGCAATTTTAGTTAATTTTCGATTTAAATATGACTTTAGAACTATATGAACACTTTCCATCACTGTTACCTCTGCATTTAAGTATAATTTGGTAGCATCGTTATTTTTTGTGTGATTATCAGCAATGTTATTGTTATCATTAACATTGCTATCATCATGTCTATTATGATTATTACTATTGTTGCCACTAAAAGTATCATTGCTATTGGTATTAATATTTTCATCATTATCTTCGATGATGTCTTCCCAATCATTCTCATCATTATCTTCAATGATCTCTTCACAATCATTCTCACTACTATCATCGATGATCTCTCCACAATCTTTTACACCCCTAAATTCTCTTATTTTTTTTCTGTTTTCTTCATAAATAGGTTTATATTCATCAGACGAAGACAATCTTGAAGTAAGGTTTTCATCATTGGGACTATAATTGTTATCTAAACTTTTGTCATCATGTTGTCGATTTATATTAAACTCAATATCGGTATGATTACTCCTAATCTTTACTCGTTTCTTTGCCCAACGTTGTAATGTTTTCAAAGGAACCTACAAAAAGTTACATGACGTGAATGTATTTGATAGTGAGAGTCATAGATATTAATGGAAAAAATTATTGATGCAAGGCGAAAAATTTTTTTTAATACTTTTAAATATTTTTGACACTTCAGAACTAACAGTAAGTCATGAGAAATGAAATAAAGTGTACGATTGAATTAAAAAAAATGACAGTCAACTTATTTACCAGTATGCTTGAATTTTCTTTCCAAAGTTTATATTTTTTCTTTTCTGGAGATTCTGTTGATTCATCGAAATCAGGATTATTCCTTTTATCGAACGACATATTTCTTTGTGGACTGTAAAAAATAAATTCTAAAAATAAATTCATTCATTTGATGATTAATTTGTTAAAATTTGAATAATTTAAAAGTTTGAGATAAATTTACTTACCTATCATGAAATATTGAATATAATATATTTTTTATTTAAACGATTAGTGTTGTTGAGATGTAATATATTTTTATAATACTGGCTTACGATAGGAGCACGTGATTATCGACATTTGGCGTCATGGCCGTTACATAAAAGCAGAACATTCAAAAACGGAACAGGCACAATCGTTGAAACAAGTGGAATAACTGGAACAAGCGGAACGAAATAAAATGGAATTGGAAACTCAATGCGAAATTCATTGATAATAATGCTGCTGTAAATTCATATTGATTGATTTTAATTAATAATTTACATAATTCAATCGTTCATCTCGTGTTGAATTCTAAATTACATTTCATTTTATTTCGCTTGTTCCGGTTATTCTACTCGTTTCAACTATTCCGCCTATTCCTACTGTTCCGCATTTATGTAACGGCCATGATATCACTTGTTGATTATCACGTACTCTCGTCGGAAGCCGGCAATTTTTGTGACGCATTTTTATGAGTTTATTAGAATAATATATTATTGCATTGTTTATTATTTAAAAAAATAAAGAACAAAATGTATCTTGTGCAATTTGATAAGAAAAATTTATATCATATTTGTGATGACAATTCTATTATTAAAACAGAAGAAGCTTATTTAGAAGAAGGTGACAAAGTTCAATTTATTTTTAAAAATAAAGTGCATAATGGAATTATATTGAAAAAATCAGGTAATTAAATTACGTATGATAATTATTTATTGTCAGTCATAATGTAATATTCAATATTTTTAATATTTCGATAGATAAAGTAAAAATTGCATGTCCATGAGAATTTTTACGATTTTATTCATTTTTTCATCTTTTGTAGATGACAGAAATTCTCTGATATCTGAGAAGAAAAAGTTAGAACAAGCCTCTTCGAAGAAAACAAATATTGATTTGAATAAATCTAGTTCTTTAGGTAAACGAAAACGTATAGCAGCAAAAAAATGGTCTAGAATAACCCCAAAAAAAGAAAAAACAACAAAAAATGATGTTCAGAAAAAAGTAAGTGATCTAATATTGTATAAAAATCGAATATGATACAATTGATGTCTTCTAATTCGTACTATATAAATTGATTGATTTTATTACAGCAGAAGAAAATTTTAAAAACAAAAGAAAACATTTCGTCCTCAGAAAGTAGTGAACCGAATGAACCATGTACATCGAAAGTACAAGATATTTCAAAATTGAAGAAAAGAAATGTACCAAAAATAAATATCGGAGAAGCTAGGGATGATTATTCTATTGATACAGCAAAAAATGTGGAGCAAAATCGAAATAAATTAGCACCTGGAGATGAACAACATTTTGATGACATGCAGGATAATTCGCGGTATTGTATACAGGATGATGGTGAAGATGGTATACAAGAAAATTATCAAGATGTGATTGAGGAAAATAATCAAGATGCTATACAAAATAATGGTAATGATAACGACCAGGAAGAAGAGGTACATATAAATCAAGAAAATATTATGCGTAATGCCAATATTAATAGAGAAAAAAGAGAGCTAGATGATGATGACAATATCGATTATTCAGTACCAGGTAGTCAGTTAATCGGTAGAGTTCATCGTAATGAGCAGGTATGTGGGATTTCTATTATTAACAAATAAATTATCATACAATTGTTTGAATATAAATACAAATATTTGCAGATGATTGAATTACGAGAAAACATATATTGTCGAAAAATAATACTGGACAGTGCTATAGGAGGGTCACGAAAAGCATCTCACATTGCAAGACGCTTGATTGAAGGTGTATTCAAGCCACATGCTTTGTCCAAGTGCACTTTTACTGGCCAATCAGTTCGCTCACAAGGCCGAGAACGTTTACAACAAACCACATATTGTCTCGATGGAACAGCTAAAAAGGTTATCATTGGTAATGAATACGTCAATTGCATTTTCTATGACTTATAATCTTACATTTCCAGTATTATATAATATATTTTTGACTATTTTTCAGAATATTCAAAAGAAAAAGCGACTGAGCTGGGGCTTGAAGTTCAAAGTGATAATTACATCGGAAAAGCAATGTCACAACGATTGGGAGAGATTAAGAGGGAATACCAATGTGCAAGAAGTACATTCCATAACAACTAATACTCACAGAAAACGTGATTTTGGAAAAATTATTTCAATTTTTTATTCATTTGCATGCTTTAAATGATTTTCATTATCAAAGTTTAGTTTTTTAGAGCTCGATGCTCATTGATATTTTTATGTCATAATTTAATTTAGAAATATTTTGGTAACTTGTCTACTTCTATGGATATAGACTGATTATTTGTGTAGTTACATTATTATTCCGGTATTGTTAATTTGTAATACGTCCAATAAGAAGTCATAATTTAAATGATTTTCATTATCAAAGTTTAGTTTTTTAGAGTTCGATGCTCATTGATATTTTTATGTCATGATTTAATTTAGAAATATTTTGGTAACTTGTCTACTTCTATGGATATAGACTGATTATTTGTGTAGTTACATTATTATTCCAGTATTGTTAATTTGTAATACGTCAAATAAGACGTCATAATTATTAGAATAGTACAAATGATAGTCAAAGTTTAATGTATTCATAGATATTTAAAAAGAGGATATTTATAACCTTATAATCGAAATATATATTTATCTTCAATAAAGTTGTAATAAAGATTGATGGTTCATGTGAATAAAAGGAGTTTCACCTCAATATGTATATATATGTATCCCTATATTTTTCCTTCTCACCATGTATTTCCATGTTGACTTATATACAAACACGTATTATTGTGTCAAATCAGATCAAATATTATTGAATATGTTCATATATAGAAAGATCTGGTTATAGCTACTAGCGTTTGTATCTGCATAGGTAATATTATGTGTGGTTATATATAGACAGATCGGATGAATAATATAACATTAGGACTTATCTGGCCATATCTTATTAAATCTCGTCAGATATAGACAAAATCGAGATCTGGCTAGATCTGATCAGAGCTAAAAAAAATAAGTGAATTATGTCTGACCATATCTTTTCAGATCTGAATGTTTTTCCCGGGTATTCAATACTATTATTATGCATGTGACTAGAAAAATTGTTAGACTACTAAATACTAAGTTTATGAAAAGTTGATAAGAAAAAATTTAATGTAATTTTAAAAAAATTGGCTACTTAAATATAATGGATTTGTAATAATAATTTAAATTAACGGGACTTAATAACAATTCCAACGATTAATAACTCTTTATGTGCTATTTAATATAATGACAATTTGTAACAAAAGATTTAGTTCATTACATTTTTCATGTTACGACAAACTTACCTTAGTATTATAGTATTCTAGTCCAAGTGAAAAATGAGCAATAATTATAAAAGCAATATTGATCTCTCAGTTACCCGACTTATGTATTGTAAAATGTATACTAATTATTTTTATGATATACTGTGTTATTTGTTTTAATTGCATTTTTTTATTTTCGATTTCATAATGACTCAATAAATTGATTTATCATGTAATTACTTGGATTTTTTTGTTTACTGGATTATTATATAATTTTTTATTTAAAAAATTTCTACTGTTAGTTCATCATAGAAAAAAAAGCGTATGAATAAGCTCGAATTATTGTAAACTATCACCTTCAAAAAAGACGATATTCCAATTAAAAATATTTTGTACTGAGGATGTTTTGTCTAAGGGTATTTTACAATTGAGATATTTTGTCTCAAATATATTTCGTCCCAGGATATTTTGGCAGGTATATTTTGTCGGGGATATTTCGTCCACGGGTAAAAAGTCATAGAACCCTGAAAAGGACAACAAAGAAAGTGAGCATTTCACCTGTTTGTCGTCAGACTAGAGTCTGTGTGAGCGTTTGCGATTACACGAGATAGGTCGTGTGTACTGTATATTTGTGATCGTGGAATACCGCGAAGTATTATTATCATTATTATTCTTTTACCGGAAAAATCCTAACACCAAGTTAATTTTGAGGTAATTAGGCATAAAGTTAAGGTAATCAACTTCACTAATTATCCTAAACTCCGTATATCGACATTGTGGGAGGAAATAACACTTCCTGGAGCGGATCCTGGACCGCTGAGCTTAAGCAGTAAAAATACTTCACCCTCATCTGAGTCTGCTCTTTCACTATATCAATTATTATTATTATTGAATAAGAATAGGTAATCAATTAAACTGGGAAAATCAATCAATAATCAACACTATGATTAATAGATTAATTGACATACCCTTTACCGATTTCATTTATCTGTTTGAAATTTTATTTAATCAGGAAGTAACCGTTTTATTTTGGCACCCGAACAGGAGACCTCATTGTACTGAACCCTCAGATTGAATTGGTGAAGATACTGATTATGATCGATTATCATAAGCTGAATATTGTTTACAATTTTTTATTACTAAATAAAGTAATGAAAGACCCGAGACCGAATTTGTTTATCTTTCTGGAACGTATCTCTGACCGTTACACTCGCGAGGGGGACACTATCGTAATTGAGTTTAATGCAAAAGTTGTGTCATTCTTAGCAACTAGAGATAATTCTTTTCAAGAGATTGCTTTCTAATGCAAATATATTTGTATCGAAAAATTAATCTTTTACGACACACTGTCCCCACTCACCTTGGTGAAAAAGACTATTCGAAACATTCGTGGTCAACGATTTCGTGTGCAACGGTGGTGCATTGGTGATAAGACTAAGAAATTCTAAGATATTTCTTCAGGTGGTGCATAGTACATGCACTATCGCTTTCTCGTTTGCCGGCTGAGCTAAATTCTTTGCTATTGGTGGGTGTGAAACTCTTCTCCTTTCACGCTTACATCTCTGGGTGCATTCTGAGGTTAGTTACAAAGTGTATACGCACTAACTGTTGCATTTCCGGTTTTGTTGTTAAGAAAGGGGGATAGATAGAGATGTCACACACTACTTGGATTTGGAGAGCACGGCGTGCCGTTCTGGTGCAATATCTTAATCGTTTTAATATTCCTTTCGATGAACAAAGTGATTTTCAAGCACTTCGTCAAATTTTAAGAAATTTCTACAGAGAAAATCCTGGTGCAGAGATACCTGAGAAAACTGCAGCAATTAGCGGTGCAGGAGGGGGTACAATAGATGAAGATGATACTTTCATTCCAGAATCGGGTGATGAAGACGAGTCATTATTCAACGAGGTGGAGGAAGAAAGAGCGTTAGGGGTTGATTCGAGACCAAGCGCTGCATTGGGACGAGAGGTTCAAAGATCTAGGGGTCCAATAAATGATGGGACGAGTACAGCAATGGCTGGGACAAGCTATGCACGTCTACTTGGAAGCTATAATCCTCCCGCTGAAAGGAGTGATCTTTCGGGGTGTCAAGTTCAATCGGATGTTCCTCGCTCTCCTCGTCTTGATCTTTACTTACTCGATCTCGTTAGAAAGTAGGGGATCACCTTCAGTGGAGAAAAGGACGTATCAACATTTTTAGGAAGAGTTAATGAGATGAAACTGGCTTATGCAATGCATGATGCACAACTTCTGAGTTGTGTCCCAATCTTGTTGAAAGACAAAGCAATTTTATGGTACCGAAACTCATAAAAAAACTGGACGACCGAGTCAGAATTTGCTAGAGCTTTGCAGGGGTTCTTCCTACTTGTCAATCTAGAGTTCCAACTCGAAAATTAAATACGGAATAGAACACAAGGTCCAAACGAGTTGGCCAAAGATTATATCATCGCTATCCAGACTCTTATTAAGAGATATGGCCAAATAAGCGAAGCCGCTATATTAGATGGTCCGATATCCGTACCATAGAAGATCTACTTCGTTGGGCTGACGAGCACATAAGGGTGGTACTCACCGAAAAATCATATAAATCACCACCATCTGCGCAGCAGTCAGTTATGCCTGAGACTGTATATAATACGTCAAAGAAAAGGCAGAAGATCAATGAAATCACGACTCAGGAAGAAAAGGTTTTTAACCCTAAGAAAGATTTAGATGTGGACAACGGGGTCATTTCAGAGCTCAGTGTAAAAACAAACTTAGATTATTTTTGTTGACCTCGGTGTACAGAACCAGGAGACCAAAGCAAGGACGACATGCAGCACCTGCGACGTTTCAACAAACGTTTAATACCGTGTTAGGTCCAGAACTTGAACCTAACGTCGTCGTTTATTCCCACGATATCATTGTGATTAATAAAACTCTGGAAGACCACGTTAATACCTTGAAAGAAGTCTTTAAAAAAATCAAAGATGCGAATCTACGTATTAATAAGGAAAAGAGTAAATTTTTTCAAAAGAAGCTGGTATATCTTAGACACCTAATTGACGGCAATGGTATTCATACAGATCCTAAAAAAGTTAAGGCAATTGCTGAAATTCCGACTCCGTCGAACATAAAACAGTTGAGACGATTCATCGGTGTGATCTCCTGGTACCGACGTTTCATTTTAAACTGTGCAAATCTTACTGCTCCGTTGACTAGGTTACTGAAAAAGACCTCTCGCTAAGAATGGACAACCGATCATGATGAATCGTTCAAGAAACTCAAGGAAGCCTTACAAACAGATCCTGTTCTTGGTTCACCAAATTATAATAGAAGAATTATCCTCCAAACTGATGCCAGTAAGTATGGTCTAGGCGTGGCTCTAACACACAACTATGATGATGGTGAATATGTTGTAGCGTTCGCAAGTCGCACGTTAAACAATGCTGAACAGAATTACAGAAAGGGATGGATGGAATCAGATAATGTTTACTCACGATAATAAGTTTCCTGATTACTGCAGTAAGAATGGGCATTCGTTTAAACATGTGAAGTTAAGCATGGGCCCAGGTTTAAATGACAACGACTAGAAAATAGTTGTACCTGAGGAGTCAAGATCTCAGATTCTGCAGGAGAATCATGACGCTCTAACTGCTAGTCATCTTGGAGGCTACAAAACCTTAGCACTGATCTATCAAAGATATTACTGGCTCAAGATGAGACAAGATATTGTTAATTATGTCAAGAGATGCCCGAACTGTCAGCAACACAAGCTATCTCAAAGACAAACACCAGGAAAAATTGGCACTATTTTTACAACAAGCCCATAGGATGTTGTGTCCATGGATATTATCGGACCCATGACACGATCATCTAAGGGGCACGAGTATGCTTTAGTTATGCAGGACAAGTTTACCAAATGGACTGAAATACAGCCATTGAGACAACATACTGCAAGGACTATTTGTGATCACTTTAGAGAGAGGATCATTTTGGTAGTTCAAGGATTGTTATCTCGGATAATGGTACTCAGTTTGTGAGTCGCGAATCCACTGACTAGTTAACTGGCTTTGGCATTCAGCACATGAGGACTCCGCCTTACTCACCTCAGTGCAACCCTGGCGAGCGTACCAATCGTCTCTTCAAGACAATGATTGCACAATTTATTACAGGGTCGCAAAGGTCTTAAGACAGAGTCCTCCCTGAACTATCGTTTGCTTACAATACTTCTCTGCATGAGTCAACAGGGTTTACTCCTGCCTATCTGATCTTTGGTCGCGAACCGATTCCACCTAATTCTCTGTGTTCTCGTATTGGTCGTAAGAGTGCATCTTCGAAAGATCATATTCA